TCCACCCAAATACAAAATAAAACAAAGTTTCAAATCATCCAACTCAACAGGTTTAAACGCACCATCAAACAATTTCTCGCTAATCATGTCTGCCCCACTCATTACCAGAATACCGTAGTAATTCAAGGTTGACAGCTTTTTCCTAATTTCCCTGTCCCCCCACCGTTACCCCGATTTTTTGTCGGCTCGCGGCGACGACAACAATCGGAAGCAATGGTTTGAGGGGAATGGATTTCCCGTATAGGTTACGGTAGCGTTACGGATTCTCCATCGCAAAGAATTGATACTGAAAAAATCAACACGATGTGTGTGCAACATGTACCATGCAATCCTTTCAAAGTTTTGTATCTCTTCTACCGACGCAGGTATTTTAAAATAATGATCTGGTTGTATCATCAGAGAAGAACGCTGGATAGAATCAATTGTTTCAATTAATTTCGGGAAATCTTTAGGTTCAAACTTTTTGCAAATTAAATCTGCAAAAGTGGATAAACGTGTGGCTTGCAGGTGTGAATTAAGCTCTGATATCATGATTCCATTATAACAATTAGTCAAAATAACCGACATGGCACACCATGAGCCTATAATGAAGCGGATGAACCACCTCTGCCCAACCTCGGCTGATATGGGAGTACTCTCCTCAAACAAGGTGCCAAGTATGAAGAGCCATGTGGCAAAAGAGATGCTTCTCAGCGCCGTGAAATATTTGTAGGCTGATGTTATTGTAATAATTAATGTGAGTGAGATGCCCAAAACAAGCCATAGCTTTGACTTGAAAGGTGTAATATAGAATTTAAAAGTTACATATTCTTTGATAGCAGGTCAAATATTGATATCCAGTAGACCCTATGATCATCGACGTATCCATATAACCGAGAATGTTTAAATAGTGCTCCATCGTGCCGAAATTAAAACGTCCTTGGAATGAATTCCGGCAACTTGAAACGGGTGTTTGATTCGCAGTTAAGAATACAATTTGCAAAACGTTTTCTAAGGTGGTGTACTTTCTAGAAATATTGTTGAATGGATTTCTAAATTTTTGTCCTACTACCTCCGTGATATTAGTTACTTTTTCATAATTATCACACCATGATCTGGCTGGGGTTTCAATACTAAGGATAGCTTTAAACACGCTGATTTTGTGGTTAGGGGTATCCCGTTGACAAAATAGATAGTGGGAGAGAGAGTACGTCCTTATTTTACTCCAGCTCATTTGCAATGCTTCGCCATGCCAGACGCAAATTTTGAATTCGCGTTCTGTGTAAAGGAAAAGAATGCTTAGTAACGCGATCCTATCCTTTGCAAAGGTAACATTTCCCAAGCTCTGTTTTGTAGTGACAAGGGTAATTAGTACATTATTCCTTTCAAAGAGCCTTTGATTCCAGTCATGAAACATATGGCCACTCCATGTCATAGTAGACCATCGAAACATGTCAAGTGTTGGCTTGTTTTCGACTTTCGTACCAGCATCGAGGTATTGGCTGTATAGGAGTATGGCAAACTGGCACGTGGTGAAAACTCTTGATTTTGACGTGTGAATTTGAATCAGGGGATAATCAACGATTTTATGGGATGGTGAATGTACAATTTTTATCGGTTGGATCACATTATTCCAATCAATGTTGGTTATCGATCCATCGGACATTACTTGAATATCACAAGGACCTAACTTGTGAAGCAGAATATCAAAAACTGGTAGAACTTGCTCACTAATAGTTGTACGAATTGTCAAAAAATTAAATAAAGGAATTGATAAAATGTAGATAAGGACAATCATTTTTAATTATTTTGGAATATACGTTTTGCACGAATGGAGGGATCTAGTATATGTGGTTAGTGACCGTCAAAGTAAGAAAAATTGGTTTACAAATTCGGATACACTACAAAAGCAGGCTATAAATAATATCTCAGACTAGTGGATTCGTAAATTAACCAGAACTACCACAATCGGAATACGTGGTTAATAAAGTAACCATGGCAATTACTGGATATTCCTACTAGGATTATCTGGAATTTATCTATGTATATACATTAATAACTGCTGAGTAAACTTATTTTTGAAAAATTCTATCACGAATGAAAACTTAAAATCGCCAATCGATCAAAAAAATATTATTTCTCCTAAGGTTTGCTTGCACGAAAAATGGGTGACTCCTTACATGAATAAATTATTTTTATGCTATTTACTAAAATTACGTAAAATATTAACAAAAGCTCCGGATAGCGTGATATGGAGAAAAATATGTCAACCTAAAGGGGCAACCCAATATATTCCGAGCACGAGTAGCAAATTTATAAAATTTCTACCTGAGTTTAATATTATATATTGGGAATTAACCAGTTGTCTACCACCAACATGTTATGGGCACAAGAATAAATTGAATTTTTCAATTTAAGTTATCCACAAACTTATGGCTAACGACTTGTTTTTAAAAAAATAGTAAATCAGGGCTGAATCGCTAAAATTTGATGGGTCACTAATGATAACATCGAAACAACTAATAATTGGAGAACCCAAGAAGTGAGGGGTACCTTTTTCTTAGCATAAGATTTGCATTGCAACACATTACCAAGATTTCAATCATAATGGCGGATTGGGTGTATATTAGGGATGGCGAAAGTTTTAAGGTTATAAAAAATAGTCATGGAATCATATGAGTTACGATTATCTGTGTAAAGCTCCCTCATTGCAAAATATTGTTTAGGGTCAGGTGTTCCGGAAAGTTTTGAAGATTCCAATCTGAAGTTTGGAACGTGAGGAGGCATAATACTTGATCATATGTGACACGAATTATATCAAATTATAGAAAATCGGAAACTTGTATTGGTAAACTTGCTCCTAGGTTTCCGAAATATTGTGAATTATGAAAATGGGTCAAGAATTGCACAAGCTACGCAACTTGTAATTTTCAGTGGTTTAAGCATTAGAAATTCCGTGTATCTATTAATTCTGGATAAACTAGAATTAGGGTTTTGCAATTATCGAGGATTTATGTTACTCCTACCAGTGCAAACTAATCTTGAATCAGCATCTACAGTGAATTTTTTTATAAATATCCAAAACAGACGTTCTGGGCGACCTAAATTTGTGATGTAGTCATTAAATATGATTTCTAAATGACAATAAAAACTCCAGGGTTTACATTCCTAGTGACATCATTTTTAGTCAAAATGGTACAAAAAATGCTAGAAATTTGCAATAGTTTTACGGCGTTTCTTGTTCCACCCCTGACTTGCTTGATCCCAACCTTGCGTACGTATTATTTTTCGGTTAGGTTATATGTGGTTAAAATTGGATAAGGCGGGGTAGGATTGGGTGGCGTGGAATTATAAATGCTAATAGTTTTATTTGTTCATGTCATTAATCCGATAGAGTGTTTGAGAAAATATTCTACTGTTTCGCACTGAGCTCTCAGAGTAATATTTTCAAAGTCATTATTAATTAAGGAAAATATTCTTCTTCAATACATGCGACTGATAATATTCAATATTTAAAAGACAACATACAGGGTGTTAATAAAGTCCGATCCCATTTTTCCTGTAAAAAAGTGAAGGCTAGTATAAAAAAAACTACCCGTGATACTTACAAAAAATGTTCAACATATTTACCTTAGTATTTGGTCTTGTTACCATTTACTTTAACCATGCCCTCAACTCTTTGTTTAAGGCTCTGTGCTAATTTTTCCAATGTGCCTCTGGAAATCGAATTCCATACATCTTGAACTTTTTTTTACTAGCTCTTCCCTCGTCCGGGGTTGTGGCTCTTTGTATACATTTTCCTTAAGTATGGACCACTGGTTCTTCAGGGGATTCAAATCTGGGCCGTTAGCGGCCCACACCCCCTTGCTCCAGACCGTTGAAACTTGCGTCTTGATGAGACTCAAACTCGCTTTTGCTGTATGGGCTATAGCACCATCCTGCATGAAAACTATTTTTCTTTCATTCGGAAATATTTCCTTGTTCCCCATGCTATCGAAATAGATAGGTAATATTTTTTCCATATAATGCTTTGCATTGACTGATTGGCCTTTTGGTATGATATGTAGAGGGGTCACGCAACGTGCACAAAATCCACCCGCTACCATAACTTTAAGCCCGAATTTTGGGATCGCTCTTGATGGTACATCCGATTTGTTTTCTGTCCTGTAACGAACATTTTGTTGGTTCAATTTTGGATATAGTTCAATAATAGATTCGTCAGTCCAAAGGATGTGACTGCGCAATTCTTCACCAAGTCTTTTTTCACTCAAATGGGCACTTTTCTGAAGGAGTTCTTCAAATTTCAGACGGTCATCGATATATTTTTGTGACATGAGAGGTTTTTTTGGTTAGTTTGTAAGCTGTGTGACCCCACTTCGTAGTTTTCACAAATTTTTGCACGGTCACACAGTTAATTTGCTTCTTCTTCTCTTTATAGCGTTTTGAGTCATTTAACTCCCTTGCTCAATTACGTAATGAACTACCGGTTTTCTTGCAAAGTCTGTTTTTAATCATTCTTTTTGTGGTAGGTGACACCTTTCTGGGTCGCCCTGGTCGCTTTTTGTCGTGGACAAAATTTTTATTCTTCCATTTCCAAACAGTTCTGCGGCTGCAGCCCAATTTTTGCACAATTTCTGTAGGTTTAAGCCCCTGCTGATGCAATGTTTGTATCTCAACTCTAAGATGCTCATGACTTACACGTTTAGTTGTTCCTCCCATGGTAAAAATTTGAAATAAATAACTTCACTGGTTCAAAAGTTCCAGCTGAATTTGTAACAACCACGCTCCAAAAAATGCATGGGATCGGACTTTATTAACACCCTTTATAACAGAACAACACTTAAATAAGTAACCACTCTTACAGCATTATTCACAATTATAAAGAAAAGTTGGTTAGTCTATACGCGTTCCACCGGAGAGACGGACAGAAATGGATTATTATATAAGTCAATGAATAATTTCCTTATAATACTACTTTTTTATAGTGTTATATAATGAATTGGTCCTCCAACTTGCATACAAACGTACACTGGAGATAAAATAGAGACATTATTTGCAATTGTATATTGAAACGTGTATGTACTTAGTAGTGCTTTTATTTTTTGGTGAAATTGCATGTACAAAAGAAATAAGGAAGAAACACCTTGCAATAAAATATCGACGTACAACTATGTACTTAATAAATATATGTGCAAAAATTTCCTGTCCTGTATAGCGCAGGATGTACTTCGAAGGGGAAATACTTACGTCTAAATGTTTATTATACTTATTACATATTACTACCCCATATAAAGGGCGTGAATATTCTGGCTTGCTAACGAAAGACTTTAAAACTTAAAATTTATAAAAATTACAATTATATATACACAGAGTTCGCCTATTTCAAAATTATGTACGCCTCGCCCTGAATTGCTACTGACAAAGAATGTTTCCTTATGACATCTTCCAAATTGTTTATACACCCAACACCGTTGAAATCGGCGTCGTCACCTCTTAAACCTAGCAAACATGCGTCAAAATTAACTACAATTACCACTTTTCGATCATCTCTACCAATCCCGTCGTCTGTCTTAATCGTTTCAATTTTCCCACGGAAATCAGTAACCCCGCTTAATTCAAATTTATCATGAGCAAGATCCTGATTGGATATGTACTGAAGACTTGAGGTTGGATATATCCATCCTTTGGTAACATCCGGACAATTGCATGATTCCTGTAAGTTGATGTATAAAAACCTGAAATACTGTTTGCCCACCAAGCTTTCCGATGCCTTTATTCCGACGAGCTTGATGTCAAATCCATTCAATTCATCAGGCTCGGTACCTTTAATGAGACATCCAGCCTCCAAGTTATAACCAGATTTAGTAGAAGTTTTCCTATTATTGGTAAGATTCCATTCCACCATCATAGTATCCTGTCGGTTGTTCAAGCTCGTTTTGTGGCAAAGAACTCGACCCAGCTCCACCCTGGCACCAGGGCCACCGCATTTGAGAAACGTTTTAAGCTGGAACGTATCCTCCGGGGTGAAGCGGATTCCGGGGTGTGTGACGAGCTTAATTTCTGTTATAGATAGAGGCCTTTCCACAACTTGTTCTTGGGTGAGAGAAATGATTATTTCGGCCCCGTTCGAGATGATCGAGTTAGCTTGGTCGGAGTCAAGTACGGTTGAATCTTTATTTTTGAGACGTTGAAAGAGGAGGCTTTTCTGTTTGGGGGAAATCTGGCATAAAATTTCCCATAAGATAAACCCCAGCGAGTAAAGGTCCGCTGGTGTGCCGTATGTCCCCGTGGCTACTTCGGGTGCTCTGTAGATCGGGGTGCCAACGCTGGTTGAGAAGACGGCAGTCTCATCGATACCTGTTATACATTTAATTTTGTTCATTGAGAAATTGGCATGAGTTATTTGGTAATTATTTCATGATTGAATTAATTTTTCGCGGCATTTAACAAATTTCTTTTATCACGCATGAAAATAAAACAAAATTGAATTAAAAACGAGGAAATATGGATTCCTTTTTCATTTTAAATCGTTCGTACTTAATGCATGCGAACAGTCTCACCTTGACCGCTTGAGCAACTCTGATGCATCCCATCACATATCTTCCTTGATAAGCCAAAATCTGCAATTTTAACTGGTAACGATTCTCCCGGGGAAAACAAAATATTTGCCGGCTTCAAGTCCCGGTGAAGGATATTTTTACCATGTAGAAACCCAATGCCGTCAAAGATATCTTGGATAATCAAAACTGTCCTGGATGGGTCGTCCCTTTTTTTCCCGGACTGTAACCATTCCGCCAAAGTTTGTCCACATAACTCCATTTCGAGACAGACTAACTTGACCAACCCATCATTGACGTCTTGGTCTTCCTTTTCTTCGTAAAGCCGACTCATCATCGAGTCAAATTGGGCATCCGAACCTGAAGTCAAGGCACCCTTAAGATTTCTCAATTCCTCCAGTTCTACAACGGTTTCCCTAATTTGATGCGTCCTGACCAAATTTCTGTGATAGGTGAACTTGATGTTGTTATATTCTTTCTGCGCGCCAATGTCGGTCTCTGTATCGGGGCAAATTAACACCTTCACGGCAGTAACCTGGCCGGTCTGCTCGTTTCTTGCTTCCGTCACAAAGCCGAAAGCGCCTTGGCCAAGGGGGTTGAAGAAGGTGGCATTACGGAACCACTCCGTTCCATCGGGGTTCTTCAATTGTTGCAAGACGGTAGTGATGTTACTATTGTCAAATAATTCGGACCCCGTGTCCAGCTCAATTCTGATTTCTTCGACAGATTGAAATCTCTCGTGGTCGTCCTCTTCCACCATTTTGGATAAAATATAATCGCCATTAAGAATCATTCTGTTTTTGAGGGGCTCCTTCTCAACTAGCCAGAGGAAGATGGACTCTGTCATGTAGGTACTGTCCCTCCATGGGGATTCTAATATGGCGAAGAATAACCCGCCCAGGGAATGAATGTCCTCATGTGGTCGACGGGCTTCATGAAGAAATCCAATTTTGACAGGAAGTTCGAACTTTGGCGCGGCAAATACAACGTTGCGTGCGTTTAAGGAACCGTGGTGGATTGTTTTGCTATGCAAAAATTTGACACCGTCTAAAATACCGTGGATGATTTTGGCCTGTGTGGTTTTGCATGGAGGAATACTTGTTGTCAGCCAAGTTTCAAGTGTGCTTCCATGTAGTGGTGTCCTAATCTGGAAGGACAGTAAGTCGTCTAGGCTGGGGACAGGTATACGGGGGCGGAGTGAGCCAACGCGGTAGTCAAATTCGGCATAAAATTGAGTCAATATTGTGTCCTTCAGAGTTTTTGGAGTGCTTTGATACACAGAAATAACCTTGAGGAAGTTGGGATGTCCTTGAAGCACGCTGAGTGAGAGGAGGCGATGGAGGTAGATTAACTGGGATGGAGAAATATCGCACTTTCGGGAAATAATAGTGGTGTCAAGGCAGTTTTGTGGATTTTCAGTGTGATATATTTTGTGAACGGTGAAGCTGTATGGGCCATACAGACCTTTCGAGTGTGATAATTCTTTAGATCCGTTATCCTCCGGATTAGACATAGTTTCAAGGCTGGAAGTCAAACAGGGAAATGATTTAATTTTAAAGTTGATTAATTGAATCAGCCTTAATTACTTTGTAGTAAAATACGATAAAACTGTTTACAAAAAATGGTACTTTTGTGACATGAAAAGCCCCCACTAACTTTTGAATGATCTAAGAATTGCCTACTTCAGATGGATTCTGCAAGTTTATGTTACTATACTTGTAGTTAATCTGGGCGATGTAATCGGAGAGAACTTCTGCAACCTGGTGTGTGAAAATTGTTTAACAAAAAGATGGGCAAACTAACAAAAAGAATCTGGCGATGCACTAAAAATGTAGTTGAACAGTGAACGCAATTTAAGCATGATGCAAACCAGATTGGAATGATGGATGTGGTGTATCTTATCTTCGTTTGGAAGGAATACGCTATGTGCCAGATTGATGATTTTGTGGCACTATATTAACGAAGGTGGGTATAGTTGGCTATTAACGATCACTCAATCGACACCAAGATAAGAATTTTGGTTGTTATTCTGTTTGGTTGAAAACGCAGGGCAACGGCTGGTTCGAGTTTATGTAGAATTGTAGATTAGGTTGGTCTGGATAACTGAATTATATTGTATAACATATTGGCACATTAGTGTATTTTAGCATGTACGAGAGCCACAAGTCAAGTCAAGTAATCCTCTATTCAAGTGTTTATATAAATCAGTTTATAAAATTGGTTTGAAAACCATGATACTAGAAAAATAAAAAATATAACTATATATAAATAAACTAAAAATTACTTACTCCCGGATTTAACTTTCATGGTAATTACAATAAATAAGCATATGTAAATTCCAAACAGAAGTAACAATTAAACTAATTTAGACTAACAGGTTAAAATTCTAAAAGAACCAATAATATCCAGGTGAGCTTATGTATACTCACGGTTGGCTTAATTTTTAGAGAACTCGATCTCCCTTGCCAGCAGGTGGTTCAATTTAACCAATTTTTAGTATGCCTTATCGCATTAGATTTTTCAAAATCTTTATGGTATTCTCAATACTACTGCTACCAGCCCCAGTTCGACACTTTAGTAATCACCCTTTATATGTGCAGCATCTTACGAATTACTGTGCATACTTGATTCTAATTGTATATTTCTACATCCTCTCGAATTGCGAATTAGATAATTGCGAATTAGCACAGGAGGGTTGTCAACCAAAATTACTCGCCGCTTAAATTCTTCCTCCTCCTGCAAATACTTATAAACAAAACCCGAGAAATCGAAAAAAAACTTGAAATCAATTTCTTTAACGATCGCCTTCGCTAGCTTACATTTTTTTCAAAAATTCGGGTACTTCTTGTACGATTATGTACTCGTCTTCACCGAGTGATTTGTTAATGAGGGTCCATTGAGCTGTGGTGTAGGTCTTAACATTGGACATCCTTAATTTATGTATGCATATTACCCACTTGCGTGGATATACAACAAATTGATATATATATACCTGAATTAATAGTCATCAAAACTTTTTAAAATCTATTCAAGTGTGGACGTTTTCAGTTTTTGGGCTCATGTGGAAGTTTCTGCATAAAGGGTTCCTTTAAGTGCTAATTAGAGTACAAATCCTGTAAGCTTGCAAAAATTCTTCACAAAATGCGGCATCTCTTCCAAGTACTCTTATAACGAAGATATTAATGCCTAAAATCTATTCATTTTTTACCCTTAGTGTATGTATGTATTTATTTATTCTCTTTACCTGATTAAAAATTTTAAGCGAAAATGGCGGATATATTTCGGCATGAACTCCTTGTTTCGTATGGATGTAACTGATCATAGTTTGTAGTTTTTTTCTAAATATAAAGGAAGTTTTTATGACTGAAATGCGCGAGTGCTATGCTTACACCAATGCCGGCAACTTTCCGGCAACAAGGAATAAATGGAAACACAGCTCGGCACATAGTAAATGATTTATTACAGTGTTACAATAATTCATAATTATGATATAAACATTATACCATGGAGTATGTATGGAATGTCATATTTATACCCAAGATACATAAATCAACGATTTGCAAAAATTCATAGAAAAATTAGGTTAATCCTAACTCCCCCTCGTAAATTCCAAAACACTCAAACAATGCCGCAAACAGCAAAATTGATAAATTCATAATCCAGGCCCTAAATAGTTCAACGAACAAAGTATTCCCTAAATATAAGTTACATCATGTGTATCGGCGGGGCTTCAAAATAATTAACATATCTAAATTACTTGCTCAAATTTCATAACCAAAAATTCTGTATTCTTTCCGACTCTTTGTTTGTAATTTTTTTGCCGCAACCGCCAATTTGTGGCGGGACACAAAGGATTTCTAAGCGGAATCACAATGTCAAGTAATTAATTTCGAAAGGCGGTACCTATAACCAATTTATATTCTCCGGTTTTTATTAGTCTGATTTCCAATGTCCAATAAAAATTAGCCGATCGCGTATAAATACCATCTCGGGGATTGGTGAATTCATTCCGAAGATCAATTCGCAGTTTCTACCTTAGATATTCTGCCATGACAATTTCCCATATTTTTTTCCGTTGGGTGGTCGCCCTCGGTATAGGTATGTTGATGGTCCAAATTATTATATTTAAAAACTACCTATATTTTCAAAGATAAATAAATTTAAAAAACTTTTTCATTCTTCTCTAGCACTTGCCCAAACTAAGCCTGCCATCCTAGCACAATCAATGTCCGATAGGTGTGTCACCGTCAATGAGACAGCGACCGGCAACTGCCTCTGGAAACTCGGCCTGGCCACCGATACTGATCAACTCGTCCTCGGAATGACCATTTCCTACTATCGCATCCGTTGGAGTAACGGGTGGAGCGAGCCATACTACCCTGGAGGAAACGATATTGATGGCACACTAACAGATGGAGGATCCTGTAACGGTGTACCCTACGCGGCAGGAAAACAACGTCGTCAATGGTCCTATTTCGTCGACCATTATCACAGCTACACGGTCTGCGAGGCCAACGATGCAACAACTCGAGCCCCAGCGGGGACATGTGATCCCGAAAACTGTCGCCTAGAGGGGCTCAACTGTACGTCCTACCAACATTTGTAACAAGGCCACGAGGAGATGGGAGGCGTTAGAATGTGGATTCGGACTCTTCTGGAATCCCGACTGGAATGCCAACATCACTGGGGGAAGTTGCGACGAATGGGACAACCTCGCCGCGGAGATTCAAAACCGCTACAACTCGGATGCTGCCTGTTTTCCGCCTTGCTACTATGAGAAGAATGGTGAGTGTTCTAACAATTATATTTATCATCCAGCCGGGTCCGACCACCGGGTCAGTCAGACGCTGGAATGTCCATCAAATCTTGTTTGGGCGGATGAGATGCAAACTTGTGATCGATGTGATCATGTCATGGACGACGTGAAAGGAGTGAATTGTTGTGGCAGCATCAGCGAACCGGGAAATGGAGGTGGAGGTGGGGGGCCAATATAGTACCTAAGGCGGGTTTACGACCAACTTATAAAACCAGGGTTGTTTCAAGATGATAGAAAAGGAATACAAAATAAAAAACCTATAAATCTGTAATATCTTTCTTGTACAATAATATTTCTAAAATTCTAACAACTGTTATAAATTTTCGATATATCGGTAGCAAAAATATTTTGTAAGTTTATTAAACTTTATAAAATTTGTACCTCATTTTTCTTCATTTGTTGCCATACAACACATTTTCGGTTCGGTTCTCTTACGGCTAAATTTTTTTGTCTCATCCTGTTCACTTCTATGTGCAAAAATCGACAATTGATACACTAATAAATAATATTGCGGCTTCCCTTATAGTTATAGATAGTTGGCTAGATTGATTACTATCCAGGGTCTCTATAATATTCTCAGATCGTTGGTAGCATCATTCGCAGAGTGAATTTCCAGGAAATTCAAATTTATTGCCTTCCGGTTACAATGATAATATTGACAATATTGATGAGAATTAATGATATCAATATTCAATTTCTTACATGAAGTGACATTTGGAATTAATGCACCATGATTCGTTAGAATCTTCTTATGATGAAAAAATAATAAGTAATATTAATTGTGGACAAAAAGTAACCGAAATAAACCCAAAATATGTCTAAAAATACAATTAAGCTAATCATTCTTTACATATATATATCACATTCATTAAGTTAATACAAAGACGCAACATTCTATCGGTATAGAATTCTACGAAACAATTATTTATATACGTCTTATTGTGTTTACGTATGGTCAATGCCGTTATAATTTTAACATAGAGCCAATCAACGGTATTGCAAAATCGCTAGACCCTCATTTTACTGCATTTTTAAAGTAACTAGTTCCACTGACTTCCTTGCCTTCAACTATTCCCGCCTGGCCTATAAAAAACAATCATCAACATAGGCTGCTTCATCTTTACTCTGCGACTGGATTCTGCCTCGCCAGGGACAGCTTCCGTCGTGTGATCGTGATGTCTGGCAACGGCGTATATTTCCAACAATGGGATGACAAGGACACCGACATCCGAAACGTGGAAACGTGGAAAGTGATGAACCTCGACAGCAATATGAGGACGGAAGTCTACACGGGGTAGTGCAGTGTGGACAAATTTCAAAGGTGGAGTAATAGCGGGGGTAAGTTCAAAAGTGGGCACGCCTGGATGTCTAGACGGCTGTACGGATGGACATGTATGGACAGATGGACAGATGGTACGGATGGACACTAATCCAATGGGGAAGGTTATAAGAGATGGGATTAATAGATTGGATAGTTCTTTGTGGTTAATTTCTATATTTTTGTAAGTCATTTAAAATTAACATTTATTTTTTTCAGGTTAAATGAATCTATGTATAAGTTTAATTCTCAACGTGTACTCGTTGAATAGCGAACCAGAGCGAGAGAAAAAAGTGAAAGGTCCCTTACTTTAGCATTGAAAGAATGCGTTATTTCTCGTCACAAAAGTCGTCATATCTTTTCCACTAGTGATTTTTAAACGTTAATTCTTGTGTATTGGTTGACTGGTATTGGGTCCTGCATTGAATGCATATAGTGGCGACGTCTAACTCGAAAAGTAGTGCAGGGTCATTCCTTGAGAGTATTACATTACAAAAATCTGTATTGTATGTAAGTAGTCGAACGAAGCTCGAGGGGCAGGCTTTTTAGTGGACTCATCATGGTTGCAGATTCGTGGTTAATGGTCGATGACCCGTTGAATATTCCAGCAATTTCAATTATTAGTATTCACTGTTTCTTCCATTCATTTATGTTATTGTAATTTAATTAAAATTTTATTTGGCTTAATACAAATGTGGTTAAAAATTTGAATGAAGTACCTCCAATATTTACAATTTACAGGCTCAAGGAATTATAAATTATGAAATTTTTCACATATATGAAAAATGTAACATTTAACAGTAATCTGATGCAAAATAATAGGACTGGTCGATATAATAACCCTGGCTGGGAATATCTATTTAGACTCTGCACACTAGGTTTTTCAAATTTGCCGTTGCCTAGATACAAGTATATAATCCACCTTTTGTACACCTGTCTTTTTGAATATAATTCTAAATCTCGGTGGGCTCCATGTTAATCTTGGATGCAGGGTGAAAATAAAAATTCATGCATTTATCCTTAATTTAGAAAATACTCGAATATATTTCAGCATTTTTCTTTACGGACAAAATTTTTCAAAAAAAAATAATTGTGTACTTAGAGTAATTTCGCTGCCATGCTTTACAATAAATTATTTGCAATGATAATAAAAATAGAATATAGTTCGAATTCAGGTGTTGGTAACCTGGAACTAAATGTAGAATAAATGCAGATACTTAGATAAATTAAAATGCACTAATTTAATGGACTGTTAGCATATAATATATATATTAGGATACACATTTATTCGTCGATATATGTAGCTGAGGGTTATGAAATCAGAAAGATAGTTCATATTCTTACGGGAATGTATTATTTTTATTAGAGAATAATAATTGACGAAAAGCTAGCCAATCGCGGAAAATTATTCACAAAATTGATATGAATCCTTTATCGTGCCATCCCAGAGTGCTGTTCCAAAAGGGTGATGGTTTCTTTCATTAGTTGGCCATAAAATGCATGATCTTGATGGACGATTAGTGCAGCTTTAAATTGGTCCGGCATGATTCCGGTTCTTTTCGCAGCATTTCTTACCGTGGCATTAAATTCAATTGCACCAGTCTCCTCTTTAACACATGGACAGTCATCTAGGTTAACCTTAATGCTCTCTCCATCTTGTCCACCTGCACCACCTGCTCCCCCATTCCCTGGTATGCCGTTTACCCCAGCCGTTCCTGTGATGTTTATTATGCTATTTCTTGCTAGATCTATTGTAATTCCTGAACCAGCAGCTCCCCCACGCCCTGTGTGACATTATAAATAATAATAATAATCAAACTATGATAACAAATATATATGTACAGACCTGAGTTGCCGCCATCTCCTCCAGTACTCCCAGAAGAACCTGTTGTTCCGTCGATTGTAATATCCACACCGTTATTACCAGCTTTGCATGTACATTCATCGCTGTCGTCAGTTTGGCAAGTATTACACGTATTTGGATAAACCCTCACTTGTACCTTCCCACCGCTCCATGCAGCACAGTCGTTTGCAGTTGGCGAAGAGTCAAAGGGTTTTACACTTCCAATTCTTCCGCGAATTCCAGTAGCACCGGTTACCCCATGACCCCCATTTCCACCATTCGTCTCAAAAGTGTAACTACCTCCCCCATTCTTCTTGCTAAACATTGCCTGATAATTTCCTCCCATATTGCCCGGAGTACCACTATCGCCTGTTCCAACTCCATCTATACCATTTAGTCCTGATAAATTTATATTTATTTGGCTTGTAGCATCCCAATTTGTTGACAATATGAATAGCTGAATGTTATTGGTAGGATTAAAATCCGCACCCCTAAAATCTTGGTCGAAATATAATGTGTGTGTTGTGATAATTGCAACAGTGGAGACTCTACTTTGTTGAAGGATACAGTTCTTGACTTCACCAATAGTGACGAAATTATTCTTGAATACCATCTTCCCGGATACAATACTTGGACATGGTTTCGCCTGCAATGCGAATTGTAATATGCTTCTAAGAATTGCGCTCTGTGCGGTGGATTGAGTAAGTTTTATGAAATCTGGCCGTGTCATAATGAATGGTGAAGTCATGCTCCCACTTAGTGGGACAGTCTTATCATAAAATCCAACAACATTTCCACCCGCACTTTGCCACCACTCATGGAATCCATTTTGGTCTACCTGTACGACTCGTTTAGTTAAATCAATACTAACTGCTGATAAGTATCTGTAGAACAGAAATTCATCTTGCATTGGCTCCTTGATAGATTGCAGGAATGGTGATACCCATGATTTCTCTTTCCATCCAAAACTGTCCAGGATTTCTAGTAGACCAACTACTGTCGTATCCAGTGTGTAAGGCCCGTCGCTGTCTAAGTATTCATCGTACAAGGGCAGGATTCCACGTATTGCTCCAGTCAGATTTACCTCAACGTTTTGAATATTTCGAATATCCTCCACTACCTGAGTAGCCTTAGATGTAAAATAATTTTGTTTTTCGATTCTCTCTGATTCATCTACAATTGAATTTAAATAATCCAACATTTCCAATTTCAAATTTCCAGTTATTCCCCCCAGCAAACCATATATTTTGTTGAAGATAGAATTGGGAGTTTGTCCGTTTCGCAAGTTGTTCACAAGCGATTGCTCTAAACTTTGCAAATCCGTAGTCCAGTCCATTGGGTTGACTTGTCCATCCACCTCCAGTTGCGACTTGCAGAACGCAATAAACCACGCTGTGTGATTAACTCTTATTGCTGTATTTGATGCAAGTGTAGCATGAATTTTAATTATTTTTGACTTGATAATTGCTGAACAATTCATAGGTTGAGCTCCCGCACAACCGCTATAGTTTGCAGATTTCACTGCCATTAGAGATGCGTTGAAACTGGGTATATTCACACCATCGTTTGATTGCGACAGTGTTTGGAAAGTTGAGATAAAATTGATAACAACGCTATCAGAAAATGATTTGAGTTCATTTGTAATATTACGAGTTGCAATAGGTAACTTTAACATTGCATCTGTCTGTAAATTTGGATATAATCGTTCAAGGTAAGATACATCGATAAAAAAACTGATCTGAGCTTGAGCTGCATTTAAACAAAACGCAATGAAGTTGATAATTGTTTGGACAGTCTCGACGTGGATTGAGGAATGATCTGGGGCAATCTGACTGAAGCTTGATTTGATCGCAGTTAAGCATGCCGTAGTCTGGCCTCCATTTGAGCAAGAAGGATAAGTGGTGGACTTTAGAACATTTATGCTAGTATTAAATGATTGGAAATTCTGGTAGGGCAGTGTTTGATTTAGTAATTCTTCAAGCACAGGTTTCGCGGCAGAAGCAAAATCCGAAATTACGTTTCTAACATTTGTTTCAATTAAGGGCACCAATTCCAAACGGATGTATTCCAATAGGTTCTGATGAATCAATACAACTTTCTGAATCCACTGATGTT